AGCCCGCCAACTCCCACCCTCAGTCACAGCACGGGACTCGAGTACCAAGTGCCCAGCCCTGCAGCTCAGACAGCCTCGGACGGCACATGTCTACCCTACTCCCTCGAGATATTCCTGAGATGGAGGCCTCGCCCCCAGGAGGAGGGGCCGTTTCTCAACACGCACCCCCAGCCCTGGCCAGTTTGCCTCAGTGGATAGAGCACTGGCCTGCGGACTGCGGGGTCCCGGGTTCGATTCTGGTCAAGGGCACAGGCCTGGGTTGTGGGCTCGATCCCCAATGTGGGACGTGCAGGAGGCAGCCGATCCATGATTCTCTCTCATCACTGATGTTTCTCCCTCCCTCTCCCTTCCTCTCTGAAATCAATAAAAATATATTTTTTTAAAATGAGAAAAGAAAAGGGACAGCGATACCTGCCCTCGAACATGGATGAGGCGTGATTGGGAGCGGCGGGTGAGCGGCTGACCCGGCCTTGACGGGCTCTTCCCAACCCCTGGGACGAGGACAGTGTAGGACCTCCCGTCCCAGCCGCGCCCCTGTGTCCCCAGAGGCCTCCCCGGGCACCACGTGCTTCCACACCCCTCACCTCCGCCCCGAGTTCTCCGAGGAAGAGGAGCCCCAGGGCACACTCGGTATCGTGCCCGCAGGGCGGGCTCCAGGGAACATTCCTCCTTACCTGTCCCGCGGGGACTCCTGAGGATGGTGGTGGCAGCAGCCTCCGCAACAGCAGCTGGAGGGGAAGAAGCAGAAACGGAGTCAGGTCTCCTCTGAGGGGAACCGCGGACGGAACGGGACTTGAGCCGCGTTCTCAGCGGGGTTTGCCTTCCTGTGTGACTTTGCAAAAGTCAACCAACCTACTCAGCCTCCCGTTCTTTCACCTTAGAAGGTGGTTTGGCCCTGGCTGGTGTGGCTCCGTGGGTAGAGCTCTGGCCTGTGGGCTGAAGGGTCCAGGGTTCAATTCCTGATCAGGGCACATGCCTGGGTGGCGGGCCCCATTCCCAGAGAGGGGCGTGCAGAAGGCAGCCAATCCATGATTCTCTCTCATTATTGATGTTTCTCTCTCTCCCTCCCTCCCTGAAATAAATAAAAATATTCTATTTAAAAAAGAAGGAAAGGAGGGCATCCCCAGCCTGCCCGCTGGTGGCCCCATGTGGGGCACACCCATCCCCGCGGGCCTGCTCCCCACCAGGCCCCGAGGGCTTGGTCTGGGCGCTGCTTTCATGAAAGCCATTTCCCAGGAACTTCATCTTCAGAGCTTCCCTGGAGGCCTGGGGCAGGAGTGAGGGCTAGGAGGTCTCTGGAAATCAGGGTGTTTTGCCCTGAACTCTGACATTCATGAATTAGCAAAAGGGACATCAGAGAAGGTGTGTGTGTGGGTCGTGAGGGGGGCAAAGAAGGATGGAAGGAAGAGAACACATCTCTTTTCTAGGAAAGGCAG